ATGAGCAGGAGATTTCCAATAATCTGGCAAAATATTAAAATAACCAATGAGCAAAGGCTAGCTTAATTTAAAAAGTTGGTAAATTTCAGGATCTCATATAGTTATTCTTTATTTAATCAAGAGCAAGGTCTCAGTACAAAATTACAGAACTAAACGTTTTTGTACCCACCAAAACCTAGCTAAAAATAATTTAGTCTTTTGTGTTAATCAACTTACTGTGCTTGAACATGGAAACTTTGTTAGTCTATCCTCATAGCACTTATCAGTATGATTGGTTGCATTTTCATTAGAATTATCCAAACCTTCTGCAGCCTAAAATTGATAGAAAAATTTTTTAGTTATAATATAAAAAAAAAATTATATCTGTATCTGGATGCTCAGATACAATATGTTCAGATCAAGGTGTTGAATTTAAGGCTAGAGGTGGGGGGGGGGGGGAGAATCTTGGAAAAGCTAGGGCACTTTAGTTCACAAAGGCAAACTAGGAAAAAAGTTTAGTTTACAATAGCAAAATAATCAGGAAATTCAACTTGTGCACTTTTGCTTTCAGCAAAATACTCATATTGCAGAAGAAAATATCCTAGAGTGTTATCTATTGCCTATAAATAAGAGGGCAATTGCAACTCAAAATGGTGCAATTAATGCTAAAATTGCACTCCTCTTAGCCAATGAAATTGCCATTGATTACATGCAGAGGATTATAACTATATTATCATAACTGTGTAATTTTTTCTGGCTAACTGTAGTCCACCACTATATCCACTCATATATAATGAGTGCCAAAACAGCCAGTAATATAGTGATGAGAATTTGTTGTTTGCACTTTTTATTAAATGTTGTTTTCACAACCTTAGATGGAATAGAATTGCATTGCAAGTTGCAAGGAAAGTTGCATATAGTGTAACACCGGTTTCTAGCCGATGGTATAATTGATTGATAGAGTCCGCAGACATAACTATGTAGCTAGGTAGACTTTTAAGCCCAGTCCAGTGAAATAACCACAATAAAAAATATCGGATAGCAATCATATAGAAGCTTTGATTAAATCGGGATTAAAAAAGAACTCTTTAGCTTCGTTTAGGAGGTAAAATTTTGAATATATATTTGATTTATGTTAAACAGAAAGAGCTATTTCTATATGAGGTAGCTGGAATACGCAGTTTTTGCGGTTTCTACATAAGGTCGAATAGCTGGAATTCCTGGCCCTTACATTTCTTATCCCTTACATGCTTGAAGGAGTACAACCGTATTTCCATCTTGACGAGTAATATAGAAATTCTAATTCCAACAATTACGTTATTGTTGTTTACAAGCGTAAACAGACGCTGTCAGGCAAGATATAGCGTGCTAAAATCAAACTGAATCCTTTCATTATTCATACGCGTATATATACAAAGCTATCATTTTAACTTACCACATTTAAGGACAACAAGAAACAAAACGCGAGTGAACTGAGAGTATTTAAAAGATGAAATTTAGCCATGTTCACTTGTCAAACTTGCCTATGTTTTGATTGTTCTCGCTAGAGGCTTCTCGGCTCTCGCTGTGCCTGTGATGAATGTTATTGACACGCCCATTTACTAGTTGCTTCCATTTAAGTGGCCATTTAAGTGTTGAATATTTAATTAATCAAGTAAATCAACTTGCTTCGCAAGTTGCCTCTCTCCTCCGCAGAGGCTTCGAATGCAAATGCGCTAGACTTTTAAAGATGACCGCTGCTTGCTAAAAGATATTCAGCTTCGGGTTCGTATACAGAATACCTAACAGAAGTAGAACTCCTGTACTTTTTTCGTAAGTGTGATTCGTCATGATTCGTCACTTAGCAAGTGCATTTTTTTGAAAAGTCACCCCCTACCAAAATTTAGCAATATGGCGCGTGGGATATTGCTAAATTTTGGCAGGGGGGTGACTTTTCAAAAAAATGCACTTGCGGACGAATCATGACGAATCACACTTACGAAAAATAGTACAGAGTTCTACTTCTGTTAGGTATTCTGTGGTATGGGGCGCCGTGTGTAAAGAAACTCAATGTCACAAATAAACAAGTTTTTCTTGGGATTTTGGATCAACTTTGTCGTTTTATTCACAAATTTATTGCTATTTACTAAATCACAAGGCTTGCCCACTGCCCGCAATCACATGTTCTCATTGCCCATCAGGTATTGACGTTTCCAATTGTGATTTATAAATCACAAGTGCAATTAATGTCATTCCGATTTATAAATTGCAATTGTTATCGGTTATTGCGATTTATAAATCACAAGTCTAATGAATAGCAATTGTAATGTCATTGCGATTTAGCCGCACTGGATTTAACCCACTGAGCTATATTAAAATTAAGGATATTCTCATAAGCTTTCTCTCGAATGGCCATTCTTTAGTTTTTACAAAAACTCTTCGTAAAGCTAGTAAATCGAAGTTTTACAAAGCTTTGCGGTCGCCCGTGCCGCCAACCAGCCAACTCGTTGGCAAAAAAGCCAACTTTACGGTGCTATTGCGAGCAAACTAAATGAAACAAGACGCCTGTTCTGGCGTTAACTCCGGCGAATGTCCAGTCTTCAATATAGAGCTTCTGAACATAAACAATACAGTTCATATTCGCATTTAGATGCCTTGCGAACTTAAATGTTGGATCGCGAAATTCAGAAGCACATCGTACTTTAAAAAGTATAGAAGTTCAATTGATCAAAAATGTAAATAAACCTCATGATACATTCGCTTTGTCTTACACTTTGCCTTTGGAATTCGCGCTTATATAGTTATATTAAATCTTCAATCCTGTGCAAACTACGACGTGTCAACGCGACACCGCGGAAATTGGTATAGGCTTAGCCGCAATTCTCGATACTTAGACTTCAAACTTCGTGAGGAAAAAGATTTATAAATATTCAAAATATGTCTTGCACAAAAGATTTGAAGCTTGCTCACGGTAAAAACGAATCGTCTGAATTAATAACCTTGTGTATACTTTAAGCCTCAAAATGGCCATTTCACAGCGGTCAGATGTGTATGATGAGCTGTCAAAAGATTGCAGAATGCGTATTCAGAAGAAAAATTGAACTTTTTTAAGATATTCAAAAGGTTTCTCTTTGATAGGGCGATACAGAAATGCACAATTGTGAACCAGCGATTAGATTTTCGGGTTGAAACGTCTTAAACACCAATTTCTGCGGTGTCTGTCAACGCGGCCATACACGACCACATCATCTTGTTAAACGGCGAAATAGCAGCGATATTATTAAAATAGGACCAGTTTCCCCCCCAACCTCAACCCCCCCCCCTCTATAAAGGTCTTGGGAACATGGTTGGAAGCTTCGTGCGAAAATCGCATGCGGCATGCACTCCTCGAGTTGTGTTTCCCGTTCACTCGCCCGCTTTTCTAGATAGGAGGATAAATAGGGGTATAGAGGTTTAAATGAGTACAAAAAGACTTCAACGTTTTACATACTGTTTGCTCACCTATACCCTCCCCCTGCTCCCGGGAGCCGAGGCCGCCCAATTACTAAGTCTTTTTGTACTCATATACCCCTCATTCACCCTACTTATCCTCTGATTTCCTTAAAGATTAACTTCGATTTCCAAAGATTAACCGAGTATAAACCCGAACAACATACCTACCCTTTTTCTGTCTTTCCGCCATGAGAAACGTACCATTCTGTTCCTGATACCACGATCTTGTACTTGATAGTGCACGACTTTACCACAAGGCTAACTAGCGATTGTTGGAAGCCTACACAAACTTTTCGCCATAACCTTAACATGTAATATTAATAACGAAAATTTCCAAACGAGATTCGAACCTCCGACTTTCAACACATGAGACCAACATCTGACCATTAGACTACAATTTCTTGTGCTAAAAGGCTATGTTTATTTAACTTACATAATCCTTTTCACAAAGTTCATAATGAGAAGTAGTTATGATAGGAACTGAACCATCGATTTACCACTTGGGAGACCATTATCTCCGACACTTGACTACAAGATCTTCTGCTGAATGGCTTTGGGTATTTAATTTACTTCATCTTTTTCACGAAGTTCATAATAAAAAAACGGTTATTGTAAGATTCGAACCATCGATTTACCACTTGTGAGACCATTGCCTTCACCACAAGACAACGGGATCTTGTGCTGAACGGTTACGATTATTTGATTTACTTTATCATTTTCACGAAGTTCATAATGAAAATACGGTTATCGTAAGATTCGAACCATCGATTTACCACTTGGGAGACCATTGTCTTCACTACTAGACTACGAGATCATGTGCTGAATGGTTATGATTATTTGATTTATTCATCTTTTTCACGAAGGACATAATGAAAAACGGACATGCCTGGACCCGAACCCCAAGTTTGAATCATGGGAGAGCATTGCGTTCACCACTAGACCAGTAGAACTTCAGGAGAATCACCACACTGTTTAAATTTATTTTTTTTTTTATTTTACACAACCTTTTTTCGAAGGATTTTACATAAGTTTATATACGTTTGCTTTGATGATGATGATTTCTATTTTGTCTAAAACGCACAAACCTGAATCTTATTCGTGGCTTTAACCTAATTGATTCATTTGTGCTGACGCTAAAATATCATAGGTAAGGAGTCCATTGAGAAAAGGAACAGCGTTATTTCACCATAAGCTAGTTATATGCGGCCCTGGTGAAGCAAATGGTTACGGTGCGATTGTTTTGTATTTTTAATGAAGTCAAGTCTGATTTCACAGGTCACAAATTAAAATTTGAGGAAAATGGCAATTCAGATTCATTAGAATGTTTCAACATTTGCCACTTATTTCATAGCTGAAATTGTACTCCAAATCTCCATTATAACGCAACAGATATTAAATAACTCTACTTCTCTTAAGCTGCGTTTACACGGTACCATCCGTCACAACATCTTCGTTTCCAAGCAGCGTACACCTAAGATCCTATAAGGCACAGTCACTGTCGGTCACAGCACGGCTACCAGCCCCAGCTGATTTATTTATATCAATTTCTTTCTTATATTACATTCCGTCATTACGTATCATAATCCCTTAATCATCATGTTCCTCTAGCAAATTGTAGTTACAAGATTATGTATTGCGATATGTATTATTTACGCAATCATTTTGATCGAGCGCCACACTTTCTTCTCACATTAGTTTTTGTCCCGAAAACGTTAAAAGTTGATACAGAAACTACGATCAAAATCTCCCGATTCCTGACCAGGACAAACAAACCAGGACAAGCAAACTTTCCCTGCTCAGTAGGCATAAAGTAAGGTTTTAGATTGTCGTGATGGACCATGAACTCTCGACCTGTTTCTTATCTAATCTTATAATTTACGCCTAGTCTTCCTAAAATAGTGTGAGGTCCAAGCCACTTGGGACCGAATTTCCACTCCTTTGGCCGCCTAAGCCATACATGCTCAAGCCATACAAAATCGAATTTCCTGCTGACCCAGCAAGTCCGACGAAGAGAGGAGTCCTCGGGAAGATCGCGAAAGTTTATGATCATCTCGGGTTGATTTCGCCCATTACTCTGCAAGGAAAGTTCCTCTCCCCGCGAGTGTTGTGACGCGAAGGTCCCCTGGGACGCCAAACTGCCTAGAGGACAGCGTGGGAGAAGCTAGATGGACAGCGTGGGAGAAAAGCCTACCAGAGAACGTGACCGCGCCAAGGAGTCTAGCTAAGTTCCAGGAGCCAATTGAAGATACAGGTCATTAGATCAAGATCATTAGATCTGGTCGTACACGAAAGACAGTATAGAACTTAGTGCTTTAGATTTCAACATATATTTCGAGCAGTTGCGTAAAATTAGATATTAATCGAGTTAACATTTATTGGGACGGTGAACACTGAACGAGGCACAATTTTTTATATTCGCTTCTTCGAGAATCAAATAGGGGAAGTGTGTTGGAAATTGTGCGGATGTAGGATAATTATCATAATGCATGCAAACGTCATAGGTATAAATTAATACTGCACGAGGATCAATAGTAAGTAAGAAATTTGGATAATTACGGACAGATTGGAAGTGAGGCTCAACTTGACTATCAAATAGCGATTGCGATAGTGAATGTGAATTAGTGTTTTTACTTTACTCTTTACTATTAAAAAAACCTATAATTGTGATTGTGTTGGTTTAACATAGCTCTAACGGCATTCCCAGCACAGCCTCCACCTGCTATGAATGACGGGTCTGGTTAAAAACAAAATGATAGGTGAATAAAAATATCTACAATCCCTCACGAATATCTTCGTCTCTTATATTATAATTTCTTAATTATCTTCGCTTTTACCTGGGAGGGTGTCCATTTACCAGCTGCCTTGACAGACTGCGCAGCCTTGGAACTCTCTGGCTTGAGATGCACGTGACTAGGCTGACCTTTGACCGTGAAACTGTCCGTAGTTGAGGAACTTTCCCGAAGCTGAGACTTGCCGACTTCGTCCCCGCCATTTCCGCGAGGGGTGAATCCAGGACTGTCCTCGTCTAGTAGTTTCCAGACAACTTGTAATGACGCGCGGTCGTGTGATGAGAACGAAGGTTGCCATAGTGAGACGATGTCGTCACGCCCAGTAGACGTTTCTGGTAAGCCTGCATTTTCTGTGAGTTCCGCCTTTTGGGAGTGTTTTTGAAGTGTTTCGGCCGACGCGGAATTATTTTTCCGAGGAGATAGCGAATGCTGATCATTATTCCTCGCTAGTGTTCTCTGTGCATACCGCAGTTCTTTGCTTGTTAGTTGATATTGCAATTGTTCCAAACCCCGTAGTTGGGATCGGGATGTTTGCGCCACATTCTGCGGATCTTTGAATGATTGACTTGCTTCAATTGAAGGTGATTTTCTTTCTCCTAATATAACGAAAGAATGAGATTCTAAGATCGAAACGGTGACAGCGGTACACTAAATGTAATCGATTTCACATTTCAGTTTCTCTCATAATGTCAAAGCGGGAACGCTGCGGAGAAACAAGAAATTTTCGTGTTCTCAATAATTGTGGTTTTTTTCAACTTCTATAATATAGGTTTAAACTTTTGTTCTTAACAATTTATCAAAAATGTTCTGAGACACCCTGCAAAACAATTTCATTTCATACTTGGACGCTAGGACGTATTAAACGAATGTTTAGTCCACCCGTTTTCAGTACATTTTCACGTAGGTTTAACTTATATCTTATCAATGAACACGCATGTTTTGTTTCAACTGTTCCTATTGAAATTTTCCGCCATATTCCTTTTTACCGGCTGGCGTGCGCAGTGTGCAGACGTTTTCCCGCGGTGTTCTGGGGCCTGGTCACGTCTACATGTGGTAGTGACGTAATCATCGCGGGAAATCTTTGCACAGTTAATCTTTTCCGAGCAGCAGAAGTTACGCGTCATGACTATACGAAGAATGCATTCAATATTCATTCACTAGCTTCCAGTAATTTATTTCGACTAATCACGTATATACATTAATGCCATCTTAATACAGTAGATATACCAAAACATTCCTTCAAATACCTTTAAATTTCAACAATTTAGCTCTCAGCTTATTTCCCATTTTAATCAACTGTTCGCGTTCTTTTGTTAATCCATTAATCCGTTGAGCAGCTTGACGTAGTTTTGTGTGTAATCCTTCAGCTGACGATACTACTCCCTTAATTCATATCAGCGATTTCTGAAAAAAGGAAAACGTTTAAAATACAAATTCTGACTAAATAGTTTTACAGTGAATTTAGGGTTTGTTATGTGTTGATGAGAAATTTTAGGTTTTCCCGCCGCATTCAATGGAAAAGATCATAATTTACCAATTGTGAACGGGTTGGAATGAAATATAACAACACTGACTATATAGCGTCATAGCTACTTTAGCGTCATAGCTATATCACGCCATTTTAGGTGGATCAGGACAGCAAGGGATATGCCATCTATATATGGTGTAGCAACCGACAGTGGTTAATTGGGTTACATCACAATCTATACGTTTCAATTTAGTAGATTTAGAATGTTCTACGGCAGTCGTGAACAAGTTTGAAGGAGCTTTTAGAATACAGGCGTACGACTGTCACAACTGATATTTCAGGTTCAGCATTATACCTGCTCGCTTTGTTGCTCAGTGAATCTCCCAGGATGTTACTAACATCCGGCAGGAATGTAACTAATCAAATCCTCTCTTAACTGCTTGCGGTTTTAAAAGCGCATATAAATTAATGCAAATTAACCAACAACACGGGAAAGTACAATTGAAAGCGGTTTCACCGATAAGCTTCAGACTGTGATACATTTACATGTTTAATTTGTTTTAATGTTATATACCTAAAGAATGTGTTTATTATTTCCATTTTGCATCTGCGATCTAGTTATTTAACAATATCATTGAACTAACCTGGTTTCCTAATGATACAGCATCAATATTTCTCTCCAAACCCGTTTTGTAAAATTCGTCAGCCTGGTGTCTTGCTTGGGTTACCTGCAGCTTGAGATCAGAGTTTTGCTGTTTCAAAGCCAATTTATTTCTTCGTTGGCCCGACGATTCTCTGTTGCCAACTGATAGTGAAGTTGGTCAATGTTTTGTTGCTTCTGACGAACCTAAAAAGAGAAAGACCGTTGATCATGCAATTGACCTATAGCCATTTAGAGAAGAAGACTCACCTCTTCTGAAGAATGATGAAGTAAACCTTGAAGATGAAGGATAGTTGCTTCACATTTTCTTAATTGAGATGTAGATCTCTTGGCGTAAACTACCTAAAGACGTGCAGAATATATATTGTGAAATAGACAATTATATTATATACCTTATCTAAAATCTAGTCGGTTAATACAGAATGCCTTTTGTGCGATTCCCACAATTTAAGTTACCATGGTCAATAGTACAATGCGATTGGAATATCACCTCTTAAAAAAATCTTAATCCTTGATACCCCAGTTGTATTTTGCAAAAAAATACAGGCATTTTTTTCAAATTTTCACTTGGGTAAATTCTCAGGGCTAATCAACATGCTATAGTGTTTTTTTAATGACCCACAAAATTACGCAACTTGAAAGTCAAATATTTGACTTAACGGAAATATTTGCAGTAAAGATAGTGAACAGTTATGTAACTCGGTGTAATAAATCAGCATATCGAGGCAATGTATGTAGGGGTTATTTTTTATGGTACCCGCGCGCGGAGTGAAAACCCGCAGAAATTATTCAGGACATTGTAGGTTAAAATTTGACATTAGACACAGAAAACTAATTCAACGTTCAACTATAACTATTTAGATAGCACAATGAAAACTGCTGGGTATGCGGGGGATGAGGTAATGTTTCAATTTAATGACGCTATATGTTTAAGCTTTTTGCTATGTTTAAACTTTTTGAACTGCTGTTGTATGGTTGAACTTTGTTATCTACCACTTATCATATTGTGCTGTTCAGCTGTGCCACCAGACCTCTTACATGAACATCATCCTTACTTCAATCTAAAACGTAAGTTGGCTCAGTATTTTCAGTTTTAGCATTTGTATTAGCCATGGATTGGGTCAGTTCGCGGTTTCTCGCCTTCACTTCTCGAATTTCTTTTTCCAGACATGTCACATATTCTGAAATGTTTAGTAAAGAAATATTAGATTAACTCTATTCACACTGATCTTTGTTACGATCACTATAACGATTAGTCATTCTAAAAATATGTCTTTCAAAATACAGAAGCTATATATGTAGAGTAGAACGGGGATCGCCTATAATAAGCTACGGGGGGTCAAACCCAGGCTACAGTAGAGTAGCTATATTAAAGATAAGGTTTTAAGAAAAAAAAAATCATCCATGTATAGAACACAATCTGGCTTTAAATTTTTGAAATTGTTTTGTTATGAAATATATTCCTGCTTTATTATCATACAAATACCTTCTCTGATTGGTACGCCATCTCCTGCATTAGTAATCGATCCAGTGGTACGTTGAGTCAACTGTTTCGTCAAATCCTCCAAATCCTCTATCATTTGATGAATAACATGACGCAAATTTTCGTTCTGAACTTGAAGTTCTTCATTATTCATATTCGCTGCTGGTGCAACATCTTCGACTGTAACAAGAAAAGATAAGTCTGAACTTAACCCGGACGAAACGTCATGCTTTTGTCACAATTGAGATTTGTGAAACATGCATGAATGATAAAATCTAGAGAAATGATAAAATCTTGCGAAGCAATGGGGGAGGTATGATGTGAAGGTTTCAGATTCGCGAGCGCAGGGTAGTCCTCAATTACATCAGCACAAACTCAAAAGAATTTTGGAATGTGTCAAGTGTTTTGGCCATGAAGAAAAATCGCGTTATTTCAGTGAAAATTACATGCGCGTTACACTTCGAGTAATATCAGTAAAGTTTCGAAAATACTAAGATATTTTCGGTTGATATATTTCCGTCCGCATCTAAAGTTTATACATCTTGCGACAGTTACCTCTTTAAGCACATCAGCTGGCTTTTAAGTATAGCCACTACGAGAGGAGCATGATTCGACTTGCAATCTATTTTCAACAACTTTATTACGGCGAATAACGGAGACTGAATTTGGAATCGATGAGTTTCCTGTTACCACGGCATACAATCATTAGTTGAATTACGAATTTAGATAAAGAGACTATATTTACATAGTTGTGATATACAAGAACAATCTCAAAAAATGCCTCATTTGGCATCATACATGTCAATACTGTCGCATGCATACGGATCGACAACCTTTTTCACCATTCGTAAACTACATTTTCGTTTCGTGACTGTTTACGGATCGTAAACGAACAGTCCATTTGATACCAATGGTACGGATCGACAAGCTTTTCAGAGACCTGTCCTAGACACATCTCGCCCTATTTACGAATCACACAGTCTTTACGGATCGTAAACGAACCGTCCATTCGACACCAATGGTACGGATCGACAAGCTTTTCAGATGCCTATCCCAGACACATCTGGCCCAATTTACGAATCGACACAGTTTGTTTACGGATCGTAAACGAACAGTCCATTCGATACCAATGGTACGGATCGACAAGATTTAGAGGGGTCTGTAGCTGGCACATCTCCTTTTACCAATGGACAAAATCTGTTACGGATCGTAAACCAACGGTCCATTTGATTCCAATGGTACGGATCGACAACTTTTTCAGAGCCCTATCCTAGACACATCATGCCCTATTTACGAATCGACACAGTTTGTCTACGGATCGTAAACGAACAGTCCATTCGACACCAATGGTACGGATCGACAACTTTTTCAGAGCCCTATCCTAGACACATCATGCCCTATTTACGAATCGACAAAGTTTGTTTACGGATCGTAAACGAACAGTCCATTCGATACCAATGGTACGGATCGACAAGCTTTTGAGAGCCCTGTCCTAGACACATCATGCCCTATTTACGAATCGACACACTCTGTTTACGGATCGTAAACGAACAGTCCATTTGATACCAATGGTACGGATCGACAAGCTTTTCAGAGGCCTATCCTAGACACATCTTCCCTATATTTACGAATCGACACACCTGTTTACGGATCGTAAACGAACAGTCCATTCGACACCATTGGTACGGATCGACAACTTTTTCAGAGCCCTATCCTAGACACATCATGCCCTATTTACGAATTGACACAGTTTGTTTACGGATAGTAAACGAACAGTCCATTCGATACCAATGGTACAGATCGACAAGCTTTTGAGAGCCCTGTCCTAGACACATCTGGCCCAATTTACGAATCGATACAGTTTGTTTACGGATCGTAAACGAACAGTCCATTCGACACCAATGGTACGGATCGACAAGATTTAGAGGGGTCTGTAGCTTGGCACATCTCCTTTTTACCAATGGACAAAATCTGTTTACGGATCGTAAACCAACGGTCCATTTGATACCAATGGTACGGATCGACAATTTCTTCATCGCCTTATCCTATAGACACAACTTGCCCTATTTACCAATGGACACAGTCTGTTTGGGGATACAGCTGCTTTCGCCTTAGACACACGCTAGTTTCCATGCCTCATGTTCTAGTCGACAAAATGCGTTTACGAATCGACATAGTCTATTTACGGATCGTAAACTAAGAGTCTATTCGATTCCAATGGTGCGAATGGTTGCTTACTTCTAACGAATAGAAATGCCTAAACCACTTTACCAGCGATCAGTATAAAAAATTTTACGAAACGAACGACCCGTATGCTTGCAACAGTATTGGACAACCATCTCATTTGGCACCAATGTTTTAGATCATTTTTAAAATTTCTCGAGGATTTTACACCCCGTCACACCTTGTACAAAATTTTGTTCAATTTACATCATTTCCCATTTGTGTTAATCTGCCCAGCTGGAAGAGCTAGGGCCCCATATACGCCGTATAAAAACCGAACGCTAAGCGTTTACAATCTACCTACAATCAAGGTGTAAAACTCACCTGATATTTGGGAAGGCACGGTTAGTCCATGAAGCTTGAGGATAGAAACTGATTCATCTCTTTGTGTCTTCAAAATATGGATAACACTATCCTTGTGAAGCAGTTCACGTTTCTGTTGTTACACCAACGATAACGCCTGATGTGAAAAAATACAGAAGAGTTCTATCAACCTTAATGTTGACGTTGAAGTCCCTGATGATCAGTTTAGTAACATTATATCGCTTCATTTGGACCTTGTAGGGCTGAAACTTCAACGGGATTCCAAATTAAAAAAGAGTAGGGTAGAGGCAATGGAAAGGGGTGTAACATTTTACATATTACATATTCGCATATTGATATATTCACCTCTTCTTTGCCTTGTGTTAAATTCTTAACTAGTTCTTCTTGTTTATCATACCCAGTTCTTTTTCCTATTCATATCTGCGCTGCTAATCTAATTCAAGCTGAGCCCTAGAACGTTCCAACGACGACTCTCTCTCCAAAGATAAAGACAACTCTTTCTGCCTCCTAAAGAAAAAAGTTGAATCAAGACCTGAGATTACATCTTTACTACAAATCTTCAACACGATACACGACCGGTAATATCAAAACATAACAGGATTGCAGTTATGTTTTTTTATGATTTTCGATCTTTTACACTTTTTCTTTATCCTAAAAAATCGTTAATTATCAATACTTATTTATAGTACAATATTCATTAACACATAGTTGTACTTCAGCTCAGCAAAGGAGATGTTTTAGACGGATAGATGGAATGGCTTCAAATAATAACCAGGTTTATCTGATCAGATATGTTTAAGCCCCGTGAAAAATCACCTCATACGGTGAGCCTGCAATTATTGAGGAGCGTTTTACGATAGGTCGGAATTTAAAAACAATCGAGAAAACAAAGTTATATTCAACGTTTATTCGCACCTCTCAAGATCATTCTTTCTCTGCGCGAGTTCAGATCATATCTTGTCCTGTTGGTGCAAAGTCCCCCCATTCAACATCCTTTGCTACAGTTAATCTGGAAAATTCCTGGTTCTGTTGGTCCATCTTGCTCTTTAAGTCTGCGATTGATTGATTTCGCCTGTGTAATAAAAAAATCAAGTTGTTCCTCTCGAATTGTTAAAAAGTTGTCGAATTTCAGCATCAACTTGTTCAAAAGCACAATTCTTGAACGGATGAATTCATGAAAGTCATAATAAGGCGTTCCAACAGCCTAGTATTATAGGTTAAATATGGTTTTTCGGTTCAAAAGCGGATATATTCTAAGTTTTGAAATAGACATGCCCTGTGGCAGAGCTTAGGTTAGTAAAAAAAATTAGAACAGCTCACATTTGTATTTTGGACATATTGAGAATTAAAAATATTTTCAAAAAAAGCTACTCGTAGACACGAGACACGAGTAATGAACCTTTGGAGGTTCACAATCAAAATAAATAATGCATTTCGAATTACGCCAGATCCGCCAATGAACATACATTAGGACAGAAATCAGAAATGCATAATGTGATTGATTTAGGTAAGAACCATTTCAATATACATGGTCTTCTCCCCTGTCCCTCCCCCCTGAGGAATTTCACACAGTGAATTCGAATTATGGCAGTCTGAAAGGGATGTCTAAATAGAAATCCACTCTGCAGAATTTCATAGATTTTTTTTTCAACAAACCAAACTTAGATGCAATTCTCATGCAACATGCAATGATCATAGTTAACTGGTTTGAGTTATTTTTTATCTGCATACATGCGAAAGTTAAAGAACTGCAAGATCAGTGGTGTCAAGATATGTTGAACTGTACTCATGCATACACACTTCTTACCTTTCCTTTTGCATAAACATGCCAAGGCTTTCCCAGCTAGCCTGCATGATAAAAGTCTCGTCCTGTCTAGACGTGATGATATATACATTGCGTGAAAGTATTATACAATTAGGTTCTATTTGCCCAGTTCATGGAAACAACGCAAATTACTCAAGAAAACTATATCACCAGAGAAAAAACTTACTGTGTTACCAGCCCCTGAGATTTTTAGTCCGGTTATTAAGGCTTAGTCTACATTTACAATAGCGACTTACTTGTTTAGCGTTGGCCAACATTTCTTCTTTTTCCTGAGCAAAGCGATCCAATTCGGCATGTTTTTTATAAATCCTCCTGTAAGTTGTCTCCCATTCTCCTCATATATTCCAGTTGTGCTTCGAGATCTGTGACCTAAAACTTATTAGTGTTTTCCAAATCAGAAATCATCCAATCTTTTCCTTTAAGCATCTTCTCCAGCTCCCGAGTTCTCAGCTCTGTCTTGTTGAGTTCCTCTTTACATCGACGACTATCACATCGCATTAACTCCAGTTCTTTTGTTAAACTTCTGATGTAAAAAAAACAGTCAATTATTAAAAAGAAGTGACAATGATCGACAAACCATCCCACAAAGCACTTTCTAGATATGTACTTTAAACCAAAAGCCTTTTATGACGGGAAATATATATGTTTGGCTAGGTAGTCTGGTTTGACCAAATGCACTTGTTTAAGCATCTAGACTACATAGGTAAAATTTAGCTCAGAGAGCGAATTTCTAAATTCGTCAAGAAGTTAGGGAAAAAGCGAAACCTTGTTTGTAGCAAGATAGTTTAACTGGAAAACAGTTACACACACATTGTATGTTTACAATGCACAACATGTATATTTTTTTAGTCATCCACAAAAGGGCCTTAAAACAACTGGTCTATGTGGTGAAATAGTTTAAAGCCACAACATGTAGTGTTTAAAGTGCACAAGAGGTTTGTTGGAGAGAAATGAGGAAAAGGTCCAAGGAGAAGAGAGCTTCAGTAATGAAATGGTGGTAATATTGTATTTGAGGTATATATTGGCAAATGGAAAGCATGCAGATAGGCTTGTAATGGTTGTAATGAGTATAAAGAGACTTCTGTTTCATCCAGTTTTGATCGATATTCTTGTTCTCTTTTTCTTATTGCTTCATCAAAATTACTGACATTTTCTGGATGACGAAACTCAAAATCATTTTCTGTTGCTCTAAAAAATCAAAATGTTGATTTTTAACCAATATTTTAAAAAATGCTTTGTTAACATAATCACTGTAACTCATTATTAATTATAGCCTCAGTAAGTTCTCAAAGTTCATAATTGCACATTGGCATACATTGCATGTAATATATCTCTACTGACACTAAAAGGTAGTTACAGTGGCTTCTTCACATCAGTTCTGCTTATAACAATATGGGTAGACTACTTGATTTAATATAAGTTTCAACTTTCAAGTTATACTCAAAATCATCCTTCAACTTACGAAATCTCAACTTCTGCTGTCTCAACATATTGTGTAGGCAAAATTCCTGTCATGCCTTCCATCACCAGATATCATGAAATTATCTTGGTTTTTTAATGTTTAAATTAATCCGTTTAATTTAAAAAGCACAAAAATACCACCAAAATATAGCTGAAGAAAAATACTTTAACCCAATCGCTTCTGTTTTAATCCAGAAATTAATCAATATTGCTGTTAACCTGACACTGCAGTGCAGCTCTAAAAATCATATCAAATTACACGGGATTACAAACGGAAATATAACTCGCCTTTGGAATTTCGTTATTTTCTTCGTTATTTTTATCCTGTTGTCTTTTAACCGTTACATGTAAACTGTAAAGGCTTTAGTTATCTTTTCTGATAGTTTTTAAGTCAGGATGGGTAGAAAAACTCGAAAAATATAGCTTTTTTTATTTGTTATTGTGTATAGCGAGGCGTTGCTCAGCCGTACGCACATGTGGTTGTCACGTGAGGTTAGAGGTGTCAAAAACGTAAGGTTGCCTACCCCGCGGGAGTAAAATAAGCCCGGTAATCGATTTCCAGGGTAAAATTGTCTCTAGAAGTCATAATTGTCAAATTTTCGCCAATATGGTGATAATTATATCAAAGATTATATGCACATTTTCCGGTTTCCATTTGTAAACACGCTTGTTGGAAATATCACTACAAATCACCAAAGCGACTGTATTTCAAGTAAAATAGATGAAAATATTGATCCCAATGTATACTAGAAATATTTGGAGGTTTTTAGGCGAGATTTTTGGAAGGCTTTGCGTATTTTCGCTTCTCTAAAATTCAACTTTAAAAAGTACAAGTTCGGCAATAAATATCTTGGCTTATAGGAAAGCTTTTGAAATGAACTAAATTTATACAAATAGGTAAATGTTTTTTCTTTGAGATAACACAATTTCTAGTTGATTTGATAAAATACTTCCAGATAAAATCGAAATTATCTGTGTGCGCCGTTTACGAGCAGACAGCAATGAGTTTAGTGGTCTCATATTTATTAAAATGGGTGAAGTATTCGCACAGTAATCACAAGTTTAAATCAGCTTACCACTTTGAAATATCCTCTGATCGGACGTCTAACTGAGAGGATCCCTTAAACATCGAGAATACTTCATTAACAAGTGCCGCATCCTGTCCTGTTTGAGAAGTTACGAGAACTTCGTCTTGGGTATTGGTTACTCCTTACTCTGTTGGAAGTTCCATTCTGTTGTATGAGGACAACACTTGTAGTTGGTGTGGTGAAAGGATGCAGATTGTCCGTTGGATGTTGTGCTTTTGTATTAGAGACGGACCACATTAGATATCAGCGCAAAATTGACACATTCATGGGAATCGAACCCAATCTCCTAAAAGGAGTATCCAAAATGTGTTCTTTGTGTGGCCAGGAAAAAGCGAGAGCTACAGGGCAACTCGCAAACCGACTGGCAGACAATACGAACGTACAACACAAAACACACAACCGACGACACAACATCCAACAACCCAACCCACTAACTCTGTAGCTGAAACGACAAAAAATATGGTGAGTTGTTCCTAGAAAAGCAAGCATTCAAAATTAGCATGAAGGCAATTGTGGCTAGGGTTTAACTGACGGCATGGGTTTGGGGTGGCTTCTTAGGGTTGGATACTGAAACTAAACTACGATCGTCTTTGTCTGAAAACACAAAAAAAGTATTAGTAGCTCCCTAGAACGAAGAGCAAAACACAGTTAGACAAGCAGTGAGCCGTGTTTCCAGATACGGGGACAGAGATCTTAGCTAACAGAGTGGCACGGGGATCTACTTCTATTAAAAAAATAATTACACATACCTTGATCCTACCTAAAAGAAAGAACTCACTCACCTGAAGAAAACGGTTGCAGACGGCTCTGTTTTATAGCCTGTAGGCTCTTGCATAATTCAGCAAAATTAAGACAACTTGATTGGTTATTTCTGTGCACAGGTCAATTTGTCATTGGTCAATTTTTGTACTCCACGATTGGTTCAATAAAAACCAATCAGATTGGTTAATCTATATTCAAATTTTTATCCCGTTTCTGTGATATTTGCAAGGTGATTGCACAACAAATGTTCGATTTCACACGTTTTGGAGCATATTCCAAGCCAATGTATCACAGTATGTGTGTATTTGTTCGATTATTTCTCTCATGAAGTTCACAAAAAATTACAGTTCAATCATTATTAAAAGGCTTTATTTCCCCACTAGCTTCAGAACCCCATCGAGCAGGAAAGTCGGAATTTAAAAGGCAAGTAAATCTTTCAAACTGTTGTAGCATTTGAATTATGTGGTACATTAAACTACTGAACCTTTCAGAATATTGTCGAATTGGGCATGGCATGGAATAATAGTAAATATAAAAACTGACAAAATCGTAAATGTAGTAAATTTCAAGGCTAAACATTGCAAATTCCAGTGGAAATATGGCGTTTTACCGCCATGCATACATAGCTATTCACAGGTATGTTATTCACGCGTTTTATATATTCAATATTACACATCAAAGCGGCCTAATCCTTAGGATATTGCCCAAAATGCAAACGAAAACCGGTTGCAGTGGTTTAGATCAAATATTCAGTACTATTTTGATATATTTAGCGTCAAAATCGAGCCTTTAGAAGATTTTTGCCGATTTTTTATATAAACATACCTGATGATATGAATTATCGCATCACCGGCAATAATATTTCATAATAATAAAAATATGGAAAACAAATTCGGGCAAAAAGCCGAAATTCTGACCTAGTTCCGATTCGAGCTTGTCTTAAGCACGTGCTTACCAACGATTATCGCTTAGCACTTTCATAAGTGTTGTTTAAATGCTATTTCTTCGATTCTTTTGCACATCCTAGCCCAAGAATAACTCAGAATTACAACAGATTGATAACATGTAAAATTGGGACAATTTGAAGACAACAGAGTACCAAAAAAGCGAAAAGATATGGAATTTCTAAAATATATCTTGCTATGGGTGAGTAATTTGAGATAACAAAGCAACCTATTATTTGATTATTGTTTTTACTTATAATACAAATGCAGGTTATAACTATATGCTGGTTGGAATATACTATTCAAATAATCGTTTCAACCGCTATCGTTTAGTGGTATTCCGGGGTCTTTAGCCCAAATTATTCTGAGATATTTAATGTCTTGCTTCTGTGCAACATTATTTTCAGGAGTAATAGCCTATTTTGCTGTACAGTTCCATTTATCATTCATTTTACACTGGTGTTATATAAAATATAATTTTTTTATTCTCTCTTTCCTATTATGTAATTGCAGAACGAATATTCAATATATTAGTGTACCACATAAAAACTCATTATGACAATCGCTATCGGACGTCTATTGCATCGGAGATACGACTTGTGGTAAGCCAAATTCAATGTTATTTCTCGCGATTTTTCTATGATGTCTTACATTGTGGTTTTTTAAAGATTCTTCAATGTTTCCTCAGTCTGCGAGCTGAGAACTAGGCCTTGTGCAAGACAAAATTTGAAAAGTTAAATTCACTTCGTATGTTATTTGTTCTGAAAGGAAAACGTTTGTTAATGATGATAGTGCAACGCATGTCAGGTATTCTGCTTCCAAAATTCCTTTTTAGCTCGCCTGCACTTTAGTGCAAGAGAGCTATTGCTATAGTCTTGGCGTGCCCGTCCGCGTCCACACTACATGATAAGTAGAATGTTAAGATGACACTTTTATTTTCCCCTTATTTTCAAATTATCTACTTAAGGAATCTATTTGTTGCAAAAGAACCATTTACCAGGGAGGAGTGAACATTATACAACAAAAAATAATGATAAGGTCAATGTTAAAATGCTATATTTTTTGTATATTTTGGCTTTACATCAGAGGAATCATTATCAATATAAGTCATCAATATGCATTGTGACTATTTAGTGCCATTTGGTACACATTTATACAATAATAAAGAGAGGTTTGCTCAAAATTATCAATTGATAAGGTGAATGTTAAGCTAATTAGCATAATGATAAGGTCAATGTTAAGATGTTATATTTTTTAAATATTATGGCTTTACATCAGATGATTCATCATAAATATAGCTCATCGATATGTCTTGTGACTATATGGTGACATTTAGTACACATTTACACAAAAATAATGGGAATTTTTTTCAAAATTATCAAATGATAAGGTGAATGTTAAGCTAATTAGCATAATGATAAGGTCAATGTTAAGATGCTATATTTTTAGCTCGCCTGCACTTTAGTGCAAGAGAGCTATTGCTATAGTCTTGGCGTCCGCGTCCCCGTCCTCGTCCCCGTCCGCGTCCACACTACATGATAAGTAGAATGTTAAGATGCCACTTTTATTTTCCCATTATTTTCAACTTATCTACTTAAGGAGTCTATTTGTTGCAAAAGAACCATTTACCAGGGGGGAGTGAACATTATACAACAAAATATAATGATAAGGTCAATGTTAAAATGCTATATTTTTTGTATACTTTGGCTTTACATCAGAGGAATCATTATCAATATAAGTCATCAATATGCATTGTGACTATTTATTGCCATTTGGTACACATTTATACAATAAAAGAGAGTTTTGCTCAAAATTATCAAATGATAAGGTGAATGTTAAGCTAATTAGCATAATGATAAGGTCAATGTTAAGATGTTATATTTTTAAATATTTTGGCTTTGCATCAGAAGATTCATCATAAATATAGCTCATCGATATGTCTTGTGACTATATGGTGACATTTAGTACACATTTACACAAAAATAATGAGAATGTTTTCAAAATTATCAAATGATAAGGTGAATGTTAAGCTAATTAGCATAATGATAAGGTCAATGTTAAGATGCTATATTTTTTAAATATTATGGCTTTACATCAGAGGAATCATCATAAATATAAGTCATAGATATGCATTGTGACTATTCAGTGCCATTTGGTACACATTTATACAATGATAAAGAGAGCTTTGCTCAAAATTATCAAATGATAAGGCAAATGTTAAGCTTATTAGCATCATGATAAGGTCAATGTTAGAGTTATCCAGAGTTATCACGCTCATTACGATTTTCAGGGCTATTATGTAGCCCTGTTTTTTTTAGTTCAAAGTTGTAGCTGAATCATATTTAACGAAACTATTTGTACAACCCTAGGCCAAATGAGAAACTTTCAAATATTTTCACCTGTATGCTACCATTTGTTTGTATTGTACATGTACAATTATAAATTATGAGATTGTGTTGTGAGTTGTGACATGCCGTATCAAAATTCAATCGCTTAATATAGAAATCATTCAGGGAATGAAAATATATAAAACATAGTCCAACGTTAAAGTTTAAAGAATATTGTCAGATAATTCGCAATTACAAGCTTTAGCAGATAAGTATTTATAAGTAGAAAGCCGATAGGCTCGGAATGCAAAGGCAAATGGCAACGCATGTGCATATTATTTGCATATTATTTGCATATTACTTGCATATTATTTTATATGTAGATACACATGCAAATATATTATACCTTTTCGTTGTTTGATGCATAATCCTTTTTTGTGTAGATATAAAAATCCAATCTTGTTTATTTCATAAAGCTAGGCGCACACACGACGATTTTAGTCGGCCGATTCCTGTCTAGATTGTCTAGATGGATGTTTTCATCAAAATGTGGCGACTGGCGATCTATACTTGGTCATAATATTAGACCAAGTAGACTCGCGTACACGCGCGAGGCGCGAGTGCCGCGAGAAGGAAAACATGTCTGGGCAAGGGCTGCCTATATGTCTAAACCTGAATTGACCAACTACCGTAAAATCGTTGTGTGTGCGCCCGGCTTAAAGCAGGGACTTTTGCCTGGTCCGTTAACTTACCTGTTGATATCACGTGCGCGGATTGCGAGAAACGGAAGAAATATTGGTCACAAATAAAACTAATGTAATTCCGAGGCCAGTTTTGGCCAGTAATTCTGATGTCACAACTAATATCTAAAGTTTGTGCTTAATATTACCTTCCAACGCGGATTTTAGCCTTGTAATTTGTAATAAAAAGATCGGTAATTTGTGCTTCATACAGATACCTTTCATACAGAGTTTAGCCTTATTCTAGACAAACAGTGATGGCGAGCGTTAGGTGATTTCAGCACCTCTCTGGTTTAAATATTATGGCTTTACATCAGAGGAATCATCATAAATATAAGTCATCGATATGCATTGTGACTATTCAGTGCCATTTGGTACACATTTATACAATAATGAAGAGAGCTTTGCTCAAAATTATCAAATGATAAGGCAAATGTTAAGCTTATTAGCATCATGATAAGGTCAATGTTAGAGTTATCCAGAGTTATCACGCTCATTACGATTTTCAGGGTTATTGTGTAGCCCTGTTTTTTTTAGTTCAAAGTTGTAGCTGAATCATATTTAACGAAAGTATTTGTACAACCCTAAGCCAAATGAGAAACTTTCAAATATTTTCACCTGTATGCTACCATTTGTTTGTATTGTACATGAACAATTATAAATTTTGAGATTGTGTTTATAAATGATTATGTATATAAAACATAGTCCAACGTTAAAGTTTAAAGAATATTGGTTTGGTTGCTCATTCCGCGACGTTATGCGTATCCTGTCTCACCATATGTATGTTAGAAATGCCTTGCCAGTTATGGCAAGGTAAGGCTACTTAAGATAGTCTGGAATTTGAGACTTTTTTATGTCCATTAGCACTTTGTAAAGAATGAAGTTGATTTAAGTAATTGCAGCGTTTTATAAGTTTATTGCTTTGGAGATATTTGAAATCGTGCCTTGATAATGCACTCAGTGAATTTACAGAAATGTATTTCAACAAACTCCAGCCTAAATGTAACGTCTCTTGTTATGCGAGATACTCCTTCACAAATACAAGATTTTTTGAGCAATAATTTCTAAATTTTCGTTCCTTAGACTGCTCCCAACATATCTGGAAAAGTTTACTAAACTTTCGCCAACGCCTCAAGTTGTCATACCACTGTTAGAATTTCTCTCTGGTATGTTTCTTAAAGTTTCGTAAATAAAGAAATCTTTTGCGAAATATCAATGTACCCCCTAAAGAGAGGATTCTGATTGAGCAATTCTGCCGCTAACCATAGTTGATCGCCTTTTTGTACAATCAGCTGTGTTAAAAATCTCGTATTTCTCTTTACCAGATGATGGAGATTTGGATAAACAGGAAATCGCATACATAAAAGGTATATGTATAGCTTTCGGTTGCCAGTCATGTTATCAGGATTGAAACCGCACATCAAAATGGGCCTCTTGTAAATATAATCAATAAAAATATACCTGGAACGTGTAGTAGGTGAAGCCACGAATGGAAATTGAGGAATACTAAAATGGTGGCTAGGAATATTTTTGTATACCTCTTCTCAGCTGTACGCAGTTCAGTGAACAGCTAATGATTTGCATCGGTTATCAAGCCAATCAGATTACGGCTAGTTCATTTATAATACCCAGCCTCCTCTTTTTGACGTGATTTGCTAGCCTGATTTCGTATTATAATTGGGTCAATTTTGTTTATTTTCCAGACTTGGTCTTGAAGCTAGAGGAAGAATTGCATACTGTAACATCTTCATCATCCAAATAATTACACATCCCGGCAGGTGCAGTATACAATTTATTTGAAAACATTGTTGAAACAAGCATTATATGACTGCAGCCTCGTTAGAAATGCTTTAACTTTTGCAGTCTTTTGTCTTTTTGTCACCCAATTACATTTTCGAACTTCTGGTCAAAGTACGAAATCACTCGAGAAAGTGATTTCATTGTCCGTTGCAAGTGAGTTTACGAAGTGGTTTCCGAGCTTCTTTCAACATTTCACTTGTTAAATTTGGATGTGCAAAGGATTTTAGGCGATTATTGGGTTGGAGCAAGCTCTGCATGATTCAATATGCCAGTATTGCAGCAAAATATTGTTAAAACTGGGAAATGAAATGCATATGATTATTTAAGCAAATCTTCTTCAATGTAGATCAAATTGGTGGTGCAATACAAAGACAGTTCGCAGACGCCTTGAAAGTACGTATACAGTAGTCTTTGACATGATAGAAGACTTAGTGGTAGAAATTTGGGGAAAGGGCTCGTATGTTGATATTTTTTGACGTTTATTGCTGTAATAGCTTTCTTGTAACTCCACTTATCTACATGTGTTCAAGCAGTCGTTAACCTGGTTTCCTTTGTGTCGTAATTGTTGTAAACAATCATTTTCGTAAACAATCATTTTCACGGATAAAATCTAGTCCAATCTTTCCACATTATTGCATCCCAGGTAGTTTTTCAGAACGGCGATGCATTAGGGTCGAGCGAAAAGAAAGATGTGCAACAAGCTGACACATTTACGGTGCAATCATCTCAACCTGTGTGTATTAAAAGTAAACTCTGCATGGCAGGTAGTTAATGAAAAATGAGACAATTCATGTATTGCTGTAGCCAAATTAAGTTTCTTGTGTTTTTAGGTTCATGTTCAACAGCAAGCGAATGACGGTTGAAAGAGGAAGCAACTGGATGTTTGGTCAACCAGCAAAGCAGCTGGTGGCGACAAAGGTGATCAATTACGTCCACCATAACATTAAGCTACAAGATGATCTTTTGTATAGTCATTTTTTAATAACGGTGATTGATTTAGGAAACCTATAACGGCTCTTCATTACTTTTTGACGCTCTTAAGAAGTTCTACTGTATAATTCTACAACAAATCTGAGGAATTACAAACCGATTTCATATTCTAATTGGGAAACTCGTATTTAGGCTATCTCTGCTAGTTGGGCTATTCCCTATAGTTATGCTGATCGGATTCATATCTTTACAATTACGTGTGGCTCCAGGAAATCTGATCAGAACTTTTTTCATGCTACAGCGATATACCAGTGGAACTTCAAAATCTACATGTCATTAAGAAACATCAGATGTTTGTTGGAATCCTCAAAAGTTCTAAACTCTTCGTACAAAAACAGGTAGAAATTTTTTTAATATATATTTTGAAAGGAGAGTCTCTAACCCCTCATCGTTTCTGGATTACTACTACTTTTAAGCGGTGTACATGCAATAATACCACTACACTATCAGTGGCAATTCTAAGGGCGTCCCCTTTTCCACAGGAACAAGGTGAACTACTTGACAAAAATGGGGATTGCAATAGGTAAGTTAAAAAAATTAAATCGTAGGAAAATGTCTGTTTCATTACCTTTTAATATAAAATTTGCCCAGGTTCGTCCAGATGAATTGTTCGTCTCTTGTATAAATACAGCTAATGTGATTTTTATACAGATTAATCTTACTGGACCTTTTGATGGTGCTTCCTTAGGTCGAAATTCTAAATCGGTTAGGGTTTTGTGTGTTGTTAAAACTGATATAGGAACGATATTTCATATCCTAGTCCGTTACGTTAACTCACAATGATTATCCTTTTTTTTGTAAGAGTTTTGGTTTTTGGAACCGACTTGAGACACAAAAAACTATTTTTGTTGAGCCACGACGAAAAAACGAATTTACTGAGGTTAGTTCTATTGCCATCCAGCGAAATCTTAAGACTAGACTTTTTAACAAATGAATATATAGTAAAATAGTTCATCTGTACGTTTTTATGAGGACGAAAAACGGATCATTTTGATCAGGAGGTTATATTCAACTAAATAACTCGCAATGAACAATCTTATTGAGGTTTATCAAAGGATTTATGGTCTGTTTTAGGCAATGGAAGGATTTTATGAAAACGTTCGCAACCCAGAGAACAAGGGTAATCAAAAGCAATTTTACACAGCTTGTATACGCGGAATGTTTTGAGTTGTAGTCATGCATGCACATATTTTAATATGATTAAAATCGATTCTGATTTTTTTGCAAAAACTAATATAAAACAAATAGGAATAAATTTTACTGCAGAGGATAACTTGAATAATGTGTGAACTTAATGCGACTTTTGTAGTGAGTTATTTTCAGGGAGTTATTTTAACACCCCCAAATTTCATTTTTCGGGGTGTTAAATTTTGGTGCTATTTTGACACCACTTTTAGAGTTATATTAACTCCTCGGTGGAGTAACGAGGTCTTCGAACGTTGATTAGTATGCAAAAATAATCCCATGTAGAGGGGTTAGAGAAAGTAACTCCATTTTAGGAGTTAAATTCCTCTCATTATATATTCATAATGGAGATTTGAAAACAAGGAGTGAAGATTGGTGATGCACATCGCGTTAATGATAATTTTTATTGAAATTGAACAAAATCTTGTATTGAAATCATTTACTACATCAGAATACGTGATGAAAAGATTGCCTCGGATAGTTCTGGTAAGTTTATAACGATAAATTTCATAGAACCAATCATTAAATAGCGAAATACATGGTCGATCGGCTGGAGTAAAGCATTGACAACCGATCGTTATACATCGTATAGCGCATTATTATATAAGGTATTCAGCGCATTAAAAATATCATAACTTACGGTCTTGTAGTTCTAGCCTGGAAGGCCTTAATTGAAGTTTTGTCGAAATCAAATTTTCAAACAAACTATATAAAAGAGCTCATTTGATATATTTATGGAAATGCGAATTCCCCAGGTTTATATTTTTGGTACTTAAAAACATGAGAATTATTCAATAAAACTATTTTTAACCTCTTTATGTGCAAGAAATCCAAGCATGCTTGTTTATTTCAGTTTATAATAAATCAAATAATAAAAATTTTCCTGTTTTTTGTTAATTATTCTGCAATGAATCTTCTTTATTTTTATATTCAGGATCACCTTAAAATAACCAGGTAATATGGGACATTGTAATATCCATTCCTGGTTCTTTTTAATAATTGTCTGAAAGGTGGTCAATATTTGAGTGTAATGCTCAAATGCACATTAGCTATTTACACAACCAAGAAGTGCTATAAACATTTGATTGGTGCATTTTTGGATAACATATATATGTGAGAGTTAAGTGGCATTTAAAAGCTTGGTGATTTGCAGTCTTCCATATCAAATGTGGTCTTTTATGCTACAAAATTTTAAGTAATACATCTCTCAAAACTGACCCTTAAACATGTTATATATGATTATGAAGCTATATATATTCATAAGGCTATAAATACAATTTTTTGAAAAAACTATTTTGTGTTAATATTATCTGTCAAAGAACCATGCATTGAACAGTGCAGATCATGTGAATCAAGCATTAAACTGTGCAGATAATTTAGAGCTATAACTAGAAATACATGCATGCAGCAACCCCTCGCCATTTCAAACGAAGCAAAATATTTCCTGAGCTAGTCAGACCTAACCTTCAATATTATGAAATGTCCTAAATGTAAAGCCGATAGCTGATGTTTCAAATACTTCGGAAACAAGCACAGTCGTAAAGGTGAAGTGAAATCACCCGTTTTCCTGCTGCTTTCCGTTGCATTATTAAAGTTATAAGCAGCCTTTAGATTTGACTACGGCTCCCGCTACGGCTACGAGATTCGTCACTGTGGCGCGAAACAAGCGTTGTATGCATACGCCACCTCGTACTGGCATGATAAAACTCTGAAAACACAATAATAAACGCATGTTTATCCCGTCAAATATTTCGGGAATTTTACCCTCGCCATTTCCAAAAATACACGTATTCAAAGGCCACGGTCATGGAAAACATTTCTCTAAATTTTTTTTCTGGAAAAAAACGAAAAAATGTCAACTTTTATTGCTTTTTAAATCACGTAGTCAGGACTACGAAGTTTTGTTAAAATGCCGTAGTCAGATGAGCGAGGGCTACGTGCCTCTGGCGTCAGTACGAAGAATCACGAATATCACGTCAATGTGACGAATCTCGTAGCCGTAGCGGGAGCCGTAGTCAAATCTAAAGCTCTCTATAGACTTTCACAGTTTAATAAGAGTTAATACTTCATTATAGCTAAACCTTCAAAACATCAAAACCGCCCAAATAATATAAATAACCAAGCAGTGAACGTCGAATGTTGTTTTTCGATTATTAAATTGATGCAGTGATTGCAGTCGATTATATATAAACCTTTAAAGTGATATTTGTTATATTAAAACTCCGAATTACACTTTTAAGGACTCTTTTGGAGGTTAAAACGATGATGTAAAGCCTTAAATAGTCGGTCACGTCTTCGCAAAACCGAGCAAAACGACATACTGTACCAAGGTCATAAAATGTATTCGTACAGCAAACACGAAATAAACCTCGAAATAAACAAAATAGACTCTTACCATTTCAAGGATTATAATCGAGTTGTTCCTTTTCACCGCTAATTCCTCCAGTTCTGATAATATTTTAAACTCTTCCCAGTCTTTTATCTGTTATTTCATTCCACATTTCATATTTTGTTTTCAAAACATTTTTTTTAAAAATAGTTTGCAAAATGACAGTTAAATTGCTGACGTTTTTCACTGAAACACAAACGTTTCGTCTTAGCCAATCAGGAAGAAGACTGGTAATCTACACTCGTTCGCATTTCACGCATGCGCACAAGTACCATGACCATTGAACGTCCACGGTCCACGGTCCACGACATAGAATTTGAGCAACTTCGGATTCCGCTATGTTCTGTCACAATACCCGGGTGTAATAAATCTCCCAGCGGAATTAGTACCCTCGCACGGCGCTTCGCGCCGGCTCGGGGATTATACACAATATGTATTGCAAGGCAGGTTTTAATCAGAAATCAATTTTAAAAAATTTGACCTTTTAAATTAATATTCTTGAGGGCTCATGAAAGTTAAATTTTCAGGTATGAAAAATAATTAATTTATATGTCTTTTCCATTGTCCCACTTGGAGACCTCAATAACATTTATACAAAATCACCAACAACATCAAATCATAGATTAATTAAACTGAAGAAATAAGTGTTTGTTAGGTACCACAGAATATGTTCATAAATTAATAAAGCAAAAAACATTACTGATAGTATCCTAACATTAACTTTCATTTTAAATTTTGACAGTTGATTTTAAAATCAAGACAAACTGAGTCAACTAATCCATAGGTAGCCCAATGCGCTGCATTACGTACGTCACTTGGGTCACGTATATAGTATATAATAATATAAGGTTGGCAAGAATATTTTATTTTCAATATACATCGTTTAAATATGATCAAAATATTAACATCTATTCTATAAAATACGCCAAAAAAATAACAGCCCCTAAGTGTAGGGTAGTTTTACTAAATTTGTACGTCGTTTTTTTGCAATGAAACGCGATTAAAAAATGAAAATATGACAAAAGTTTGTTAAAATTTGCCGTGTCCCGATGCGGGATGCCTGTTGCCGTGCAAAAACATCAATTTGAAAACTCGTATACGCGATCCTATTGGTCATGCAGCTTTGACCGTTTTGTGATGACCAATAGGATCGCGTATACGAGTTTTCAAACTGATGTTTTTGCACGGCAACAGGCATCCCGCATCGGGACACGGCAAATTTCAACAAACTTTTGTCACATTTTCATTTTTTAATCGCGTTTCATTGCAAAAAAACGACGTACAAATTTAGTAAAACTACCCTACACTTAGGGGCTGTTATTTTTTTGGCGTATTTTATAGAATAGATGTTAATATTTTGATCATATTTAAACGATGTATATTGAAAATAAAATATTCTTGCCAACCTTATATTATTATATACTATATACGTGACCCGAGTGACGTACGTAATGCAGCGCATTGGGCTACCTATGACTAATCAAGAAAAAGAAAACCCCATGATGTGGGTTGAATTGCCAGGGACACCTATGCTAAGACTTCAGGTCTTTATACAGCTCAGTGGCCGGGTCTTTCTTGGCGAAATATTTGCAAAGTACACACGAAGCCCTCGCTTGCTCCGTAAAAAGTTCTCTTTCTCGGTACTTTTCATTCGAAAATTGTAAACTTAGTAGAGGACTTGCGATTTTGGATGCGAAAAGCTGGATTTGGGGACTAGTGGGAGCTATTTTAAGGTAAATATTTGAAGTTTTTCTTGCATTTAGTCTTCCCGCCATTTTATTGTGTTAACTTGGCCTGCAAAAACAGACAAATTTATTGCAAGATTCTTATAGTTTGATTCTAAAATGTTTTTCAAATAGTTGTTTCTATAATTTTTGATGCTGGTCGATTTATTTTTTCTGTGGGGCTGTTGCCAAAAGAGTTTTTCAGTCGCAAAACTGACGGCAAAGTATTTTTTTGTTTCTGATCAGCATGAATACATGATATCGCGAGCCTCCGATATTTACCTTAAAGTTCCTGGGATATTTTAATAGTCTATAACAATTAGAATTCGTATCTTTAGAAGCAGTAGAAGGACAGAAGTCCACAATGCCCGGTAGAGGGTAGAAGAAGCAATGCCAATGGGAAACTCAAACACAAATTTCAATACAAGAAAGCCCTAACCAGGCCCTAACCTAGCGAAACGATGTTGAAAACAACCCCAAAATAACTGTTCATCTCTCAATGGACGAAGCAACTTACCATGATGCAGTAAATCTAGGTATGTGGAATTTTTTTCCTATTCTTTTTATATTAGCTAAGCCTAAGTTACTTGAAATTATTCCTTCCTAATACTCACATGTTTCTGCTTATTGTTTGTATGTTTGCATTGTGGATCTCATAGAACATATAGATTTTGAAGGTCTGTTGAACAATGTGCTCTGTTATATGCATACAAAGCACACTACTCGAATTTACACTCATATACATGCAATTTTTCTATTTGTTCGTAGATTGAAGACTCGTTTCGTGCAATTGGCACAACAGGAAACCTCCGAAAATTTTACTACGAGGAAAATTGTAAAAGAAGAAACGTGGATCAGTATTGCTTATACAGCCAGGTCATCATCTTGATAGAGTGAGTCTTAGCTTAGTAGAACTCTAGTAGAACTGAACAACCAGTGTCTTAATGACTATACCATTATGTTTTAGGCATGCATGGTACTCCACTTAAAAACATTTTCTAAATTTTTTGCAAATGTGCATGTGTGTTAAAGTGTAAATAAAAAGTATTAAAGAGCTATACTATAGAAGCAATTCCTTTAATGCGTAGTTGACTTGCTGTACTCAAACAGAAATGTAATTGATCTCATGTATTCAATTTTATAATAATATAATAACGATATTTGTGCTGCATTGTTTGTTGACTCGATCGGCATTATAGGTAGAAATCTTCGATGGAACGGAATATTTCGCTCAATTTATTTATCTTTTCAATTGTGAAATTAAACCGAGGCAGATTTACTGGATAGATCACAATTGAAAAGAAAATCAAGCGAAAAATTTCCTTCGATCGAAGTAATTTACCTATATAGTAAAAAACCGGCCTAACACCTAAAACGGTGTTAAATGTGTTTAACTCCAAAAATGGAGTTATGTTTTAAGTCCAGAATTGGAGTTAAATTAACTCCGAAAGCGGTGTTAAATTATAACACCAGAAGTGGAGTTATTTGTTACTCCAAAAAGCTACTCATTTTGAACCTTTTTTTTTGACCCCTTTTTTGGTGTTAAAATAACTCCCTAAAAATAACAGTGAATATACAAACCAATATAGGCTCGTTGCACGGTACACCCTCAAGTTTTTGCTCCCAGCTACAAAAATCACTCACCTGAAGCTTGTCTTTGAGCTTCGGGATCTGACGGCTCCCCACCGGCATCCGTTGAGTCACGAGGACCACCGAAGATGTTGCGATTAGCAATGCCATAGAAACGATGAATTACGCGACGACGAATTCTGCAAACAATAGAAGTTAACGTTAGTTCGAAAATAATGCGAGTGTTACGCCATTCCGATGAAGGATGGAACTTCTTGATGAGCAGTAGCTACCAAGATCAGGTTTCTAATTTTGTAAAAACCTTCGACAGAGAGGCTATTATAGTAAAGATATCCTGACAATAAGGTTCTTTAATGGAAAGCACAAACTCGGATGAATTGGTCAAGCAACTCAACCGGCTTGTCAAAAGACGGGAATGATCAGGAAAATGATACCATGCGTCTCATCAATCCCCTCATGCGCGCAACATATCACTCAAATACGTGAATGACACGGGCTACCGGTATCTGCATTACAAATTATACGTCACATTATTCGAGAAGAAAAGGGGAAGAATGGATAAAACCTTCCCTCCCTTTGTAATGCAATAAACATCACCTTATATAGCCCCGTTATGATAGTCAACGTACTGCAGTCACCGAGTTCAAACATGTGCACTTGGTGAAAGGGAAAAATTATTTGAAACGGTCCAGGAGGAGATTTTCTTTCCCGCGCTTTCTGCTAAAGTTGGCAATACTCTTTACACATTTACGGAAGCGCGTAGACAAAAAGGAAAAGATAAAATACAAAACTGGATGTACAGTAGTTCATCATCATTTCACGATAAACCTCGGTGATAAGAACAATCAGCCAATTATATTCGCCACCGTCCTAAAAGATTATGAAGCATGCTGTACTATACTCACTCCTCCTGTCTGTGTTTCGATGCCCTCAATTGAGCTGTCTTGCTGTCGTACACCTAAATGAAATTATTCAAGAAATAATGTTCAAGAAATTATTTATAGCATCGCTTTTCCATCGAAACAACCTTCACACGAGAATTATGAATAAATGTGGGCTCGTGGGACCGGTTTAAAATTTTTTTGAATGAACTTTCCTTATTCGGTGAATAGAAATATTTCTCTTTTTTATTTAACCGATAAAATATTTGTCTATATTAATTTGCTCCCACCCTGCTTCTGTCATGGATAATGACTGGCTAGAGTAATTTAGACCCCTCTCTTGTTCTCGTATACCGCTTGAAATAACAGACCGACAATAAAACAATATTCATCGATGTGTTTTAACTTACCAAGAAGAGAAGGTAGGCAACAAAAGATACGGCGCACAAAATGAGGGTCGCCAACGCAGAATTTTTTACATATTTTGGTTGACTATCGTCACCAGAATCAGGACTTTTCTTTGGACCCCAGTGCCAGTCAGCACTTTGAACAATACTGCAATAACGTAGCAATACAAGTCAGAACAAATACACAGGATACAATGAACAATAATTCAAACTTACAGATAAAGAAGTGAGGTAATAAGCATAATAATTGAAGATTTCTGCACTGAAGGAAGAAGAGTTACGCCCTGAAATAAAAAAATAGAAAGAACTATTAATCGTACATGCACATGAAGCATATTTTTTACTCGAACTAAAGCAGAGTCTTAAATTCGGTCTGTTTTTTTCATCATGAGATTTGTTCTCCCACGTGGTCAATCTTAATTTTGGCCAATCGAAATAAATCGTGATCGCATGTGACATATTTGTGACCATCTTATTGGCGTTCAGCGGCTCATTCAACTTCTTGCTTCAGCTGTGGGTGCATGAGGACTGTTTTCTGCCATACGACACGTTAGCTACGTTAACAGTTAATAATAGGGAGATTTAGCATGAAGATGCGAACGTCAAAGACGACGTGAAAATGGCGAGTAAATGGCGTGGCATGTCTTGCATATTTGGGCGCATCACGCCACTTATTTGCCTTTTTCACGTCGTTTTTGACGTTCACGTCCTCGTATGTATAAACTTTCTCCGGCTAAAAGCAAAAGCAAAAACACTCATTTCCCTCGAGTAAACGCTTAGTAAGCGTCTTGTTTAACTTTAAAAATCATTGTTTGAACTAGCAACAAAAGTTTTGTATTTAAAAGTTTGTATTTCCGGCTGCAATACTTTGAATGCCTACCTTTTGAATAGTCTGAATTATATTTTAAATGTGTAATATTTAGCTTACACGTCACATTTTACTTTACACGTCGAATGGAATTCAAAACAATGGACTGGAGAGATGATAAACGTCATTGAGCTTCACTATCATCTCAATATCCAATCTCGTACCCAGGATAGACCCTAGGTACGAAGTTGCTCAATACCATTTATCGATGAATTGCATTCGACGAGACCAACATGTGACATATATAAATAGGGCTAACATTATACCTGCTTCCTGCATTTAATTCCCTTTCCAGTCTCTTCAATTGCT